CTTTTAAAAGAAACAATCAAATAATGCATTTGATCTATTATTGCTTTTTCGCGAAGTTATTTAAACTAATCAACATAACTTTCACACTTTTAAAATTATGTAAACGAAAAAGCAGGGAGCACTATATTCAATATAATATACCTACTAAATCCAAAAAAAAAAAAAAAAAAGATGATTACGCTATACCGACAGATGTAGTAAATCACAATCAAATATAAATTGTTCAAGGTTGCGGAACGCACGCAAGCTGAAACTTAATCGATGTTATACTTGTAATACCGAATATGACATGATCTGAAAAACGAGCATGTACATGTACAGTTGTTTTTCGAATTTACTTTCCGGTTTATAGATCTTTTGCGACTCGAGCGTCGATCATAAAAGTGCTCGTAGGTCATAATATTTATATTCATGTAATATTCCTCACATATTTGCACAACGCAGGTCTTTTCTAATGTATTTTCGCGATAAACATTTCTCTATTAAGAGTATTTATTAAGAAATGCACTCGTAAATTTTATTTGTTTTATACATATTATTTTTATATTATTTTAAAAAATTACACTATATATCAAAAGAAATCAATTTTAAGCCATGTAAGAATACAATACCTACAGTGACCTTAGCACGCTTTTAGAGTAATACTTCGTATAAAATTTGAGTACATAAAATATATGAAGAAAGCGCGCGTCAAAACGCGCGAAATGTCCAAATGGGATTGCTCGACTGACTCAGCAAACCTTTCTATCGAGGCCGATCGATCTTTCATTCCGTTATGGCAATTGATAATATTAACATATATCAGAGGAATGTTTCGTCTCAATACGAAAAGTTTGAAAAAAATTAACGAATTACAAACGAAGAGTCATATTGTAAACTGGCTCGATTAGATCAAAATACCAGATCAATGATTTTCGAACGTCGTCTGACAAGTCTGTGCCAGCATAAGCCGTCTGTCACGTCGAACACCTTGAGGTATTCATAGTTCTGCCATATTACCGTCGCGCTATTAATACTTGCGACAACTTTAGTTTTCAAACGTATGCCAAGAATAAATGCACGTCGCGACACGTAAATTTAATGGTAGATTTTGTCTCCACGAAACCTTGATCGCAGGAGCGACCGTGAAGTCGAGAAATTAAATCGATTGCGAACTGCCGATCTGCCTAAAAATTCGAAACCGTTTATGTCTATCAATTAAATGCCTCTACAGAAGTAGTATTGTCCCGGCTCTCTTGTATGTCTCTTGTATCGGGTTGTGTGTGACTTAAGAGCAGCACGAGTAGGCTCAAGGCAATAGGAATGCCACTAATTGAAAGAGATAAATCGAAGTACTTCTAACCACACATATCCGGGAACGTAGCTCGTTTTATTAAGGCAGAAGGCGTTACCAATTCTTGGCAACTAAAGTATAAATCTTTCGAAGTGCAACAATCGCGGTAGAGCGTTTTCCACTTTTGTTCTTCTCTTCTTCTTTTTCTTTCAACACGCATGTCGTGTCGAGTAGTAACTATTGACCCGTGAAAGACGAATTTTCTCAGAGAAAAAAGCTACCTTGTGTCTGTCAGCAGCAAACGTGTAACTCTTGGCAGGTAGAATTTCGAACGATATCAGAAAACTACCAATTCTGAAAAATAGATGACATCGCCACCAAACTCGTGATCAAAATTCGGCACTCGTTCTGATGTTACATTTATCGATAGCGTAGCGTAAAAAAAATATTTATCGTACTATTGAAAGTAATAACTTAATGTATTCTTAATTTAATCAGATTCATAGATATTCATTGCTCTCTTTCTCTTCCGCGCACCCTGCCGCGATCTTTCAAAGTAACGGAAGAACGCGGCTCTCTCTCTCGCTCGAGTGAATGCCGCGAATGCGTACGTCTTCAGCTCTCTTTCTCTTCCGCGCACCCTGCCGCGATCTTTCAAAGTAACGGAAGAACGCGGCTCTCTCTCTCTCGCTCGAGTGAATGCCGCGAATGCGTACGTCTTCGGGACCGTATTCACTCTCGACCGAGGTACCATCGTGACACGCGCCGTCGAGCTGACATCGCGTGGCATCGCATGGATCAAGCGAGTCGAGACAAGCAGAGATAATAACCTTCGTGGAGGAACCTTGACGTCGCGGCACACATCGCGTTATACAGTGAATATTTCAATCAGAATCGATCTATCGCGTGTGGATACACGTGTGTGTCTGTGCTCTTCTCTCTCTCTCTCTCTCTCTCCAATCCTATCGTGTACTCGTCGTATTCGTAGAAAAATTTCCCTTCCATCCCACGCGCAGTTACATATCAGGCTACCATTATACGCGCTGTCATTCTGTCTCACCCCGTAAAAAAATACTTCCTCCGTTATCGTTAATATCCGCGTGTAACGTCGCGTGTAAATATTTCAAAGCGTTATCGATCTACGCGAAACACAGGTTTCACGAGTACTGACGCGATACCGATCAACTTCATTTTCTTGATAGTTCGATGATTAATGATATGTCGATTTTTCGCGCGAGATTGACTTGCCCAAATGTTAATAAAACAGCCATAAAATTAAATCGCGAGATCGCATTTTGCGCGCAGCACTATTTTTGTCGAATTGCACAAGATCAAACTATCTTAAGTATCGAGCCGAATATTTGTCGGAAATTCATTTATAAATTGAAATCACGCATAAGAATGTCACTCGCAAAATGTTACGCTACATTCCATCGACACAAAATGAAAGTCACGTTGCGGGGTCGCAACCGAGGGGGTCCTCGGTGAAATTACACTATTCATTTGCGTCACCCGTTATCTCAGAGATGCCGAATCCGAACCCTGCCGACAATCGCGTGTGTAGTGTGAATATTACAATACAAGATCGATCGGCTGCACGGAACACGTGTTTCATAAATGCCTCGGTACTGTCTATCGTGACTTTGACGTTATTTTTCCTCACCTGTCTCGGATGAATAGAATAAACGCGGAATTCAATACCGTTGAATATATCTGATACGAATAATACCATTTGTGCTTTTACATGGCGAATCGAATTTAATTGAAATCATATGATATATACAGAGTTTAAGTTCTTTCATGTATATAAGGCGGACGCTACAGTCACCAATGTTGGAAACACAAATAGATAAAAGTCTTTAACAATCGTCATTTTCTTTGACTTCGTGCTTTATCCTTGCAATACGGCTGTGCACTCACGCCAATCGAGTTACTCGTAAATATTTCAATATAGTATCGATCTACAGAGCGAAGTAGACATTTCAAGTATTCGTGCTTTCACATCAATAACTTTGTTTTTTTCTGATGTCTGAAATAACCGTGATTAAGTACGCACGAAGTTTTTTTTTGAAAATCTTTTATAGAAATGTCCAACGAATAATGGTAACGCACGTTCGTTTTTATTATAATTTTTATGATTACAATTTATTATATTTCATAAAAATTATAAAGTATAAAAAAATATTTAAAAATTTTATAGATTTTTTTTACGCTCAAGAGGATATTTTAAGTGATATTTTTCATTCGTATAATCAAACATCAAAAAAACGTGATATGTTTAAACGTCTTCTCTTATTTGAACATTTCGAAACGATATAAATCAATTGTAAATTATTCATTGATCATTCCTATCCATCACCCGCTTTCGTTTTCGTCGTCTAATAGTGCATTTAATTATCACGCACTGTGTTCGAATCCTCATCATGTTGTAAACAATTTTTATAGATCTTAATATCTCGTAGCCTATGTATACTATTGTAGCTTTTGATCAACCGTGAATTTTATATCGGTGTCGTTGCTTGTAATGGCATTCCGACAGCGGTGATAGACGACCCGCGTCTCGTCCTTGTCCTTATATACTCGCATATTACCACGGAGACAACTGCTCGCTTGCTTTATTCGTGTAAAACCCCAGAATTTACATGGAGTTTGAGCGATTGTTTCCTCTAGTAGTAGCAGCCGTTCGTAGTCGACGAAATTAATGTAACAATCGGGATTTTGCGAAGAAAGTATACACGCAAAGTTAGTTTCAAGTACAAAGTTTTTTCTCTTCGACCAAATAAAAGATCAATATCATGCCACACTATATTCATTTTGTGTGTATATGTGTACTGCATTGTACAGAAAAGAATGAAAGTCATCAACAAAGCCAGAATAATCGATCGGGATTAACTTGGAATTTCGAACAAAGTACAACCATACCAAAATGACAGATCGATAAAATTGACATATACATATATTGAATAAAATAATAAAAATGGAAGGAATTGTTCTAGCTTAATAATTTAACATTAAGAATAATTAAATAAAGATTAAAAAATGATTCTTGTCTTGGATTATAATCCAAAATTTGAATGTTAAATCTCTCGAAATATTTATTAAGTAGACTAATTAAAATTTAGTCCAGCATAATAATATGATTACAGAACACAGTTATATTAATAATAGTTTTAAATACTTTTATATATAATCACCATTATGACAGTATTTGAAATTACATACTGCATGCTTTAGTGTAAATCCGGGAATAAATGTTAATCTCGGCACTTGCTTTACTGCCAGGAAAAGTTGAATTTTCTCCACAGTACGTGACTCGATAGCAGAGCAAATTCGGCGGATTTCGTTTAAAAGTCAGCAGGATAAATTCCCGTTGTTTATTGCCGCAGTATTGCAGCATTTACAGGCAATTTGTTTCTGTCACACGCGTAATTACTTACGAAAATTCTTAGATGATCGATCTTCCCGTTTGGGATTATTTTTATTTGCTTTAAACAAACAAAGTAAGTTAATCTTGAAAATATTTAACATTTAATTTTAGAATATGAAAAATAAATAAATTATATGTAATTTTTATACCATTATATAGAGTGTAGGAAACTAAATATAATTTTAAATTATATGTATTATATAATTTAAAATTCTTTAATATTTTATTATTTTTGTGAATTGTTTTAATATATTAAAACTAAATAATGTCAAATAAAAATCAAAGTATAGCACATACACATATAAATAATGTTTGGTAAAATTGATTAGAAAATCTTTATTATTTAAATGCTCTAACATTTTTTAAAACATATGCGTTAGTTTAATACAACATATTAAATGATATAAACAGAGAAAACGATAGCCTTGTTTTAAGTTCAGTAACTAATATAAACTCACGGTCACGTACCTTGCCCCAGCTATAGAACAAATAAAATAGTAAAAGACATTTACCTCGTTAACTGATTTACATCGTTATTGTACAAAGCAATCAAACACATGTTTAAAATAAATTATAAGTTGCAAAAATTCTATCTTATTTCGAAATAATTTGGAATGATTGAGCATATTAAAATTGTAAAATTTAATTACAAGACATACAACAAGATTTGTTAAACAAGAAATCTCAGATAAAACATTTTTTTTAAATAGCACTATTCAGTTTTACATACCGTTAATATTAGCTTAAAAATTACGGTTAGAGAGTATATATATATATATTTTAAAATTAAAAGAGATTTTATTCAGCAGACGATTTCAATACGGAAAATCTTGGCAGTGCACGCAGCCAATTTGTTCCAAAAATATTCAAGAATTCGAGTCAATACAAATTACATTCCTTATCATTATCGAATAAAACGCGCAGCGTTAAAATAAATCAAATAAATTTCTCGTTTTCACGCATCTATGTCTGCGCCGTATGCTACTGACAAAGCAGTCTGCTTTAGATCAATCGGGAGACTATTAAAGCTCGTGCCGTTTCTACAACGAGACAGTTCACCACGAAGTGGCAAACGTTAGTCGACGTATACGCGTGATTCGTGTCTCTTTTAATCTAATGTCGCGCGCTAACTCTCTGCGATCAATTTAAATTTCTTCTACAAATTTAATTTTTCGGGAAAGTGAGATTACAATGAATATAAAACGAGTTTAAATCCAAATAAACTTAAATGTAAAATATATAAATTATTTAATAGCGCATAAATATGTTTTAATAGGAACGAACAATTTAATATTGTTAAATATAAAATTTCAAAATATAATATTTCATCCAGTGAATCTTGGTGACGAGCTGAATACCATTTTTTGGAATGTATCGAATTGACAAAACATTAAAACAATCTACTTGCACGCGACTTGGGCGTTAAAATTATTGTTTAAGTTATCGTTCAACGACTTTGATTTAACGAATGTATATTTTCCGTTCATTCTACCAAGTATATCGAATTATAAAGCTTGTACTTGATAAAGCAAATTGGAAATTGAATCGCAACGATGTTAACGGATAAATTGATATTTATTCCGCATATTGAATCAGCGTGTTTCGATTTTTTCGATCTTTATTGCTTTTCGACTGTGTGATGTGTATCGTTTACATACCACAATGACACTTGTTTGAAAATTGGAGGAGCTATTAATATAAGGTGTATCAAATTGACGCGATTTATATAACATTGTTTATTTAGTTAGCTCGGAATTATGTAGTTTATTTATTTTGTACTATGTATGTATCAACTGTGTGAAAAAATATCCGGAATTCATCTTATTGTTAGTAAAGAAGAGTATTCTATAAATATTAATATTGTATGCCGATTAATAAGAAAATTATCTTTTAAGGCATCAATCTTGTTTTAATTATGCGGGTTTTTTTATAAGTTTCTTTTCTTTCGTACATTCTTCGTGAACTATGGATAGTATGCGGAGAAATAACGTGTGAGTGACGTTAACTTAGTTTTAGATATAAATTCGTGATTTCTTATATCGCTCACGCTTTTTAAAAACACGGAGAGCACGACATTAATAAATAGACGTTGCAAAAAAAAAAAAAAAAGAAAAATCTGGCTCTTGCGTATTTAAGATGTTTTAATAAAATTTACATTTTATTCGATAGAGTAAAAATACCCTGAAATACTAGCAATTCTAAAAATATCAACAATAGTTTTCATATACGCTGACAATAAAATAGACGCATATATATTTTTAAAAATGTTATACTATTTAAATAATAAATAAAATAAATTATTCGCGATAATTTTGTGCTCTACAGTGTCATTTTTATATAATAATTCAAAAATATTAATATTTAGTAAGACATTGAAAATTTCAAACTTTTATCGTTTCTATTTTAATATATTTTAACAATGAGCATAGATTTTTTTTTTTAATCCGTTCTCAGTATCCCGAAGTTAAGTTTCGATTATCCTCCATGTATTTCGGTCGAGAGATCGCGCGACAGAAGATCGTTATCATTCTTTTCATTCGACCTAGATCAACCACGCGAGTGCTTTAGTACAACACGGCAGTAAAAAGTTGGTAAAAGTTAAGCACTCGAACACTTCCGCGAGTATCCCCTGTCGGGGATTGATTGTCAGTGCCTTTGCACGAGCGGCTTAAACCTCCGATCCCGATGTTGGTATTATATCACGCCGATTTCTCCTGGGCTCGGACGAAACATCATACGCCCAAATTGGCGTTTATAATGTGTCGTTAATCTCTTAATACATTCCGTCATGAGTTAGGCAGCTATCGGTGTGCCCCGAGAGGATCGCGCGCAAAAAAAAAAAAAAGAAAAGACCTTGTGTCGGAAAGGCGTCAAAATACAAAACACGAAATCGTGCATCGGGATTTGGGAAAGATCTAAAGAAACGTTAAACGTCCCCATATACCTCCTTGTGATCGTCGCACACCGCCACCACCACTGTCTTCTTCCACGCATCCTCGAACACCTGACCGAATCGACCGAACGTACCGAACGGTCGAGTAAAAGGTCGAGAAAAAGAAAAACAACAAAAAAAAGACACACATACACACCACGAGAAATATACGCCGATAACGATCTGAAATCGTGCACTGAAGTCAGTCATGAATCTTATGTTCCGCAAGAATTTCGGAGGCGAGAAGGGATCCGGTGGTGGCGGACTAAGTGGAGGAGGACTAGGGGAAGTTCGGCCCGTCCTGGGGAGCACTTACGGAACCTCGTTCGGTCAGCTAGGAACGCGTTTCGGCGCGGCGCGCGTCGGCGTCGGCCAGTCGGTGGTCGGCGGCGCACGTGGACCCGCACGACGCAGCCGGGAATTCGGATACACCCCGTCGATGGGCGATCACGAGCACCAGGGGCACGGCTATCGTACTCACTTGTTCCTGTCACCGCCCGCAGGTGGGGCGCTTGGCTCGCCACCCGAGGAACCGGGCGAGCGGCTGGGTCCGCCGCCGCGCCGAAATTCGGGACCTCATGTGATCAAGTGGGGCGGCGGCGGGCCCGTCGGTTCCGCGCAGGGTGCGCAGGCCGCCAATCAAGCCAGGAGAAATGTATGTATCAACTGTGTGAAAAAATATCCGGAATTCATCTTATTGTTAGTAAAGAAGAGTATTCTATAAATATTAATATTGTATGCCGATTAATAAGAAAATTATCTTTTAAGGCATCAATCTTGTTTTAATTATGCGGGTTTTTTTATAAGTTTCTTTTCTTTCGTACATTCTTCGTGAACTATGGATAGTATGCGGAGAAATAACGTGTGAGTGACGTTAACTTAGTTTTAGATATAAATTCGTGATTTCTTATATCGCTCACGCTTTTTAAAAACACGGAGAGCACGACATTAATAAATAGACGTTGCAAAAAAAAAAAAAAAAGAAAAATCTGGCTCTTGCGTATTTAAGATGTTTTAATAAAATTTACATTTTATTCGATAGAGTAAAAATACCCTGAAATACTAGCAATTCTAAAAATATCAACAATAGTTTTCATATACGCTGACAATAAAATAGACGCATATATATTTTTAAAAATGTTATACTATTTAAATAATAAATAAAATAAATTATTCGCGATAATTTTGTGCTCTACAGTGTCATTTTTATATAATAATTCAAAAATATTAATATTTAGTAAGACATTGAAAATTTCAAACTTTTATCGTTTCTATTTTAATATATTTTAACAATGAGCATAGATTTTTTTTTTTAATCCGTTCTCAGTATCCCGAAGTTAAGTTTCGATTATCCTCCATGTATTTCGGTCGAGAGATCGCGCGACAGAAGATCGTTATCATTCTTTTCATTCGACCTAGATCAACCACGCGAGTGCTTTAGTACAACACGGCAGTAAAAAGTTGGTAAAAGTTAAGCACTCGAACACTTCCGCGAGTATCCCCTGTCGGGGATTGATTGTCAGTGCCTTTGCACGAGCGGCTTAAACCTCCGATCCCGATGTTGGTATTATATCACGCCGATTTCTCCTGGGCTCGGACGAAACATCATACGCCCAAATTGGCGTTTATAATGTGTCGTTAATCTCTTAATACATTCCGTCATGCGTTAGGCAGCTATCGGTGTGCCCCGAGAGGATCGCGCGCAAAAAAAAAAAAAAGAAAAGACCTTGTGTCGGAAAGGCGTCAAAATACAAAACACGAAATCGTGCATCGGGATTTGGGAAAGATCTAAAGAAACGTTAAACGTCCCCATATACCTCCTTGTGATCGTCGCACACCGCCACCACCACTGTCTTCTTCCACGCATCCTCGAACACCTGACCGAATCGACCGAACGTACCGAACGGTCGAGTAAAAGGTCGAGAAAAAGAAAAACAACAAAAAGAAGACACACATACACACCACGAGAAATATACGCCGATAACGATCTGAAATCGTGCACTGAAGTCAGTCATGAATCTTATGCGCAAGAATTATTTCGGAGGCGAGAAGGGATCCGGTGGTGGCGGACTAAGTGGAGGAGGACTAGGGGAAGTTCGGCCCGTCCTGGGGAGCACTTACGGAACCTCGTTCGGTCAGCTAGGAACGCGTTTCGGCGCGGCGCGCGTCGGCGTCGGCCAGTCGGTGGTCGGCGGCGCACGTGGACCCGCACGACGCAGCCGGGAATTCGGATACACCCCGTCGATGGGCGATCACGAGCACCAGGGGCACGGCTATCGTACTCACTTGTTCCTGTCACCGCCCGCAGGTGGGGCGCTTGGCTCGCCACCCGAGGAACCGGGCGAGCGGCTGGGTCCGCCGCCGCGCCGAAATTCGGGACCTCATGTGATCAAGTGGGGCGGCGGCGGGCCCGTCGGTTCCGCGCAGGGTGCGCAGGCCGCCAATCAAGCCAGGAGA